ATCATTTCATTTAGTTTGATCTGTCTTTTAGCCAACCAACTCTCCGTTCTTTCGAGTTATTTTACTTAATCACAAATAGATGCTCAAGAAGGTATGAAAGACATGGAAATTTCAATTTATTGTCTCAGTTAGTCGGAAAGCACGGGAGATCACTTTGCCCACTGCCTCATCGCCTTTGATAATGTCCAGCGCAGTTGTGGCCGAAACGTCAGGAAGAAATTCCCATGGACCACGGCTTCAAAGCCCGGAAAACATTCCTAAATGTAATTTGACCGGCCGCGAAAGCCTTCATCGTTTTTCAATGAGTTCTATGCATTCCTCGCTTCTGTGAGCTGAGAATGATCACAACTCAGGATTGGAATGTTTCCAGGATATGTTGGGCAGTTCTGCGAGTCCTGCGCTCCAGGTTTCCGCCATTCTCCAGCTCATGGGGGGCCGTTCACCAACTGCATCCCCTGCGACTGCAACAGTCACGCTCGCATCTGCGACTCTGAGACTGGAAGATGCATCTGTGAAGATCATACCACTGGGGAAAATTGCGAACGCTGCTCCCGAGGCTACTATGGAAACGCTCTTGCTGGTAAGTTGCTTGGAACTTGAAGACGTGATCTTTTGATCGGCTTTGCCCGATGCCATCGAAAGAAGCAAGGCTTTGTGAGCGTCTCTAATTGTCCTAGATGAGTTCTATTTTGCCTCAAAAATTTTTGTCTTTATACAAGGCCTACGGGTGTGCCTAGAAGAATGGCGATCCTTAAAATGCCCACCTAGGGAGCCGCTCCATATTCCCAACTCGCTAGGGATGAGCATTCGCGATTCCTTCATATATTGAGTTGTAAAAAATTTACCTCTTTGCTTGCAATGAAGCTGGTTTTATTGCGTGCCCCAGTGAGTTGCATTGCAACGCATTAATATTTGTTCTGGTCGAGTATTGGGAGTTTTCATAGTTTTTCCGAAGACACAACAGCGTTAAAAGATATTTGGCTAAGGGATGTGTAGTATTGTATACATTATAATACATCTAATTGTCTGCCTGCCAACGCAGGAACCGCAGACGACTGCATTCCATGCAATTGCCCTGATGGCGGCGCCTGCATTCAGCTGGAAGAGGAGCTCATTATGTGCACTGAGTGTCCCACCGGATACTCGGGGCACAGATGCGACGTCTGCTCCGATGGATACTTTGGAGACCCCACTGGACGGTTCGGGCCGGCCTCCCCATGCCAGGTGTGCGAATGCAACCAGAACATCGACACCAACGCCATTGGAAATTGCAACACCACAACTGGGGAATGCCTGCGCTGCATCAACAACGCTGGAGGGTCCAGGTGCGAGATTTGCCTACAAGGTAACCCCCCTCCCCAGTGTACTCGCAGAGTTTCCTAGGCAAAGCTCTGGTATCTTGCAGGGTTTTATGGAAATGCGCTCTTGCAGCCGAAGGGCGACTGCAAGCGCTGCCAGTGCTACGCAGTTGGCACTCAAAGCGACCCTACAGGGGAGCTCATCTGCCACTCTACAACTGGGGACTGCGCTTGCAAGGAGCGCGTGGTGGGCAAGAACTGCGATAAGTGCGAGGAGGGATTCTACAACCTGCAAAGCGGAGAAGGTTGCCAGAGCTGCAACTGCGACCCTGTCGGCTCGTACAATCAAACCTGCGACTTGTCTAGTGGGCAGTGCTATTGTAGACCGGGGGTGACTGGGTAAGAGGTTTTTTTACGAAGGTGGTGTTTTTTAGTGGGCAATTGACCTTCATCAAACTCCCCCTCTGCTTCCAGTAGGCAATTAGTTCTTTTTCGCAATTTCTTTTAAGGAGTTGAACGCTCGATAGTAAAAACGTTTGTTTAAGTCCTCGTTGTGACCATTGCGAGGCCAGGAAGTACGGATTTTCTTCGGACGGTTGCCTGGAGTGCGACTGTGATGCAATCGGGTCCAAAGACCTACAATGCGACACTACCGGCCAGTGCCCCTGTTTGGACAACGTGGAGGGACGCAGGTGTGACAAATGCAAGGAGAACAAATACGATCGCCATCGAGGGTGTGTTGGTAGGTGCAATTCTTCCCGCTGTTGACCAGCGGGCGAACTTTCAA